CTCCTCCATCATCTTCTGCCTCAAGGTTCCAGCCCAGTTTGAGTTCTTGCTGTGGATTTCTCCAGTGGACTGTGATTCAGGATATGTAAGCCAAATAAACAAACCTTTTCCTCCCAAAGCCTCTTTTTGTCATGATGTTTCATCACAGCAATAGTAACCCTTTCTAAGACATGGACTTAAATAATGTGTCAAGGTCACATGTTTACATAAGATAGAAGTGAGCCATCCACATCTGACTGATGTCCATTAAATCCCCGTTTGCTTTTGCAGAAATAAATGATTTCTCAGACTCCATTTACAGTAGACATCCAGTGATTAACTTGTACCTTTTGCTTTTACACTAACAGTATTTGTGGATTTTACTAATGAGAGTCTTTTTGAGGCAATGTGATCTAATGAGCTAATATAATATAATATAATAATATTGAGCTAATATAATACATTAGAAAATATCAGTTAAAGGCATCCTCACAATACTTGTTAGGTTTACATCTTACACAAAATGGCATTCCTTCTTTTTGAGAATGGGTGAGAAACAGATTTATTTCCTTCTGTCAGATAGCAAGAACCATCAATGTGTGAAGGGTGAGAATAATATGGGTTGTTTTTTTTTATTTTTCATTCTAAGGCCAAAGAAAAATTTGAGTTTTTAATCAAAAAAAGTATATTGTGTCTTCAACAATAAGGTTTTACTGTCAAGTTTTGGTGAGTAACCAAGGCCAGTGGTAATAGCTTGTACTGTTTTGAGGGTCTCTAGCATACTTCTGACAAACAACTTGAGGGAATGTGTCCCACAATGGCACTGGGACATGGGGAAACCAAGTTGCTACAGACTGGTAAGCTTCCTTTTTGTTGGCCAGCTATCTTAGTATGAGAAAGTACAATGTTGGCTTCTGGGGACAAAAGTCATCAACAGTCTTACCTGGCTGTGAACCATGTGAGCTGCCATAATGACTCGTTTGGCAAGGTATGTCCATGTGTGCAGTAGTGGCACCAACCACTTAATGATTGAAGTTAAAGCCTGCTCCATAAGAGGAAATGAATGCCCGGTACTCTCAATTTGACCAAGAACTAATAGTTGGAGAGCTCATAAACCCTACAGGTAAACCCACTATTTTGCTAAATGGACATAATATCAAACTGCTTTCTAAATGTGTACCTCAACACCTGTTGATTAGTCCAACTCTCAGACCTCATCAGAGAAGCTTCTTTGTGTACCAGACAGCAATTGCTAGAAACCCCGGAAGTGCTGAGAATAAGTCTCTGGGGTGCTCAGTCATAAACCGGACATCTGTATCACAATCCTTTCCCTGCAGTTTGGGAAACATTATGGAAGGAGGGGTGGAGATGCCGGTGAAGAGGGTGTAAGATCCAGAGTCCAGGAGGACACAGTGTCTTCTGGACAGGACAAGCCTGCTGCACTCATGAACTCACAAGACCTGTAAAGATCAAGCCAATCAACGGTTCAGCACTTGGGGGAGGGGTGTTCATAAGCTCCTACCCCTGGCTGAGGAGCTTTTGACAGCTGATGGTTTCTGGGCACAAACAGTCTTTTTTCTTTAGGGGTGTGGTTCCTGGTAGTTTCACCATACCTCAGTGAATAGTCTCGTACCCACAAGAATGTGAGAAGCACAAGTTGGACTTAGTGGATAATGAACAAAAGAACAAATGAAGTTGGAAGGGGAGTTTGAAGGGTGAGGATACATCTGGAAGGAGTTAAGAAAGGATTGGGGACTTAATGGAGTACCAAATTATAATGCAATCATATGTTATACACGTGCATGAAATTCTCAAAGAATAATAAAACATATAATATATGTAAACAGTAAAATAAAAGTTTGTTTTTATGCTAAGTACCAAGGTATCAAAATACATCAAATCCAGTTTTGACAAATTTTGTACAGTAGTTAATTGTCAAGATAATTCAATTCCTATAGAATATAATAGACATAAAATTGAGATGTTTACTATATTGTAGTAGAGTTACTTCGTAAGGTCATAGGTAAAAGACTGTGAAGCAATCAAATGTTATGCAGTGGTGATTGACTGATGGACTATAGTAAGCCATGTACTGAAGATACTAGTTCAGAGTGAAAAAAGAAGAATGTAAAATTCCCAGCTGCCAAAGAAGAGCTTGCTCATGTATTTTTTTAAAAAATAGGATGATATCAAATTACTTTGGGACTTCAATTTCATTGGATAAATTTAAGATAGTAATGTAAGAATTAAAACAATGATACAATATGATAGACAAGTATCCTTTGCAATTCTTAATATATGATAAAATGTTGAGTACTCAGAAGTATTTATCTCAATACTTAGTTTAGATGTTCGAAGGAAAGGATAAACAGAAAGTTTGCATTTTAGGGCTGTGAGAGCGCAGCCATGACATTGATGTTGGTGTCTTGAATGTAATTCATAGTAAACACATCTCTAAGTATTTTACACATATTTTATGGTTTCTAATAAGAGTATCAATAGTGTTCTGGTGGTTACTGGTGTGGTACAATAACCCCAAATTTAATGGTCATAAAAAGGCAGCTGAGTAATTTAGCTCAAAACCTTGACACTTTGAATTATAACAGGGTGTGAGCATGCAGGGCTAACTTGGAGATATATTATACAGTAGGCAGATATGAGGAATATTCCAGCTGGCTCGTTCAGTTAGCAGCTAGTGGTGTCTGGGAAGTTAGGGGGGCTGATGGTCAGAGCACTTGTGTGAGACTCCCTGGCAGGGCAATATCAGGAGGTCACATTCCACCAGGACACTGAAAATCTCCCAAAGTCAACTGCTATAGGGTAGAAACCACATGGCCTTTCCACTCTAACTGTAGATGTCATATACTGTCGTTTCCTCTATATTTTCCTAATGTAAGCAGTCAGAGCCCTAGTTAGAAGCATGGGAAGAAAAATAACTCCACCCTTCAGAGAAAGTAGTATGAAAGGAAGTGGAGGGCTTAGAGATCCACATATTAAAACTGTAATAAGTACATAATTCTGTTTTATAGGAAAGGAAATTAAAGCTTGGAAGAGTTACATAACACACACATACAAATATTTTTATGTATATATAGATATGTATATAACCAAATTCTGTGTATAGATCACATATTTATATATCTTTATCTCAATTACTTTCTTGTATCCTTTTTTACTTTCATGTCTTATATGTGTGCATGTGTGGATAGATAAACAGATAAATTGATTTCACATGTGGAAGAAAATGTGATATTTCTTGTCTTTTTGTTAAAATGATGATCTCTTGTTCCACCTATTTTTCTGTAGATGACACATTTTTAATGTTCTTTATAGATGAAAACAACTTTATTGTGTAAATATAACACACATATAGCCCACTGATTTGTCAATAGGTATCTATGCTGGTTCCATATCTTTGCTATAGTGAATAGTGCAGAGTTCATATTTGACACAAGTCTAAGAATGTCTAACTAGGAACTTTGTCTCCAGAGTCTACACAGTAGAGAGCCCAGTATCAATGGATACTGTGTTTCTAGGAGTCTTGAATGATCAAAGAGATGAAGTCAAGGGAAGATACCAAGAGAGTGCAGTCTGTTGATGCTGAAAGTTCCAGTGACCCCTCTTCAGGTGGGACTGACCCCGGTAGTTGATATCAGCTAATACCTTGCCCTTGGAGATCAGTTTCAGGTTATATATGGATTGTTGTTCATTTCTAAGCTTAGACTCAACACAAATGGCATTTCCCTATACATAAGAGAGTTCTTGTGCTATTACTGTTGTCATCTAATTTTTGGCTTAGATCAACAAATGACTGATCAGAGTTCTCAAAAATATAGGCATGCTTCTGATGAGCTAACTAGTCCTTCTATCTCTTCATTCCTTTTCCCTCCCTCCTTCTCAGAGCCTATAAGACCTTGCTGTACCTGTATAATTTTAGCCTGTGGTCTTGTCAAAACAGGAAAATGCACATATATCCCTGGCCTCACATATAGCAGACAATGAGATAGGAGATCAAGAGGAGGGACCAGGGGGTTGGTAATACCAAACAATGCAGAAGTGGGAATCTTGAGTGAGCAGTGGCATCATAGATATCATGGATCTTCTGAGCCAAAACAGATGTAATATATCCTTGAGCAACAGGGTCCTATCCATGTGTCTTAATCAAAGGGCATTAGCTAAACTCTCCTTCTTTCTTCAGAGCTAGTTTTCATATGTACTTAGCATCCATGGGCACATTCACACTCAAATGCATGTGCATATGCACACATTCCTATCCTTCCTCAACTCCATCTTCACATCAACTGTGGTTGCAAATCCAATTATAGAATGGTTTTCATACCTTCCATGGATTATAAGTGTCTGTAGGGTCAATTGCTGAAATCCTCTGTGGTGGGCTTACTGTTGTTTTTTTGAAGGTATCAAGGAGTACCTGGTATGTTATATGGTTCAGTGCCATTCAAAGAGCCTTCTGCTCCCAATGGACTGAGAAATACAGTCAGCATTTCACTTTTCAGCTGAGCCAAAAGATTAGGTAACCTGTCTTGTACACAGAGACTGCCAATCTAATTGGAGGAAATTCACATTAAGATTTTCAAAACTCTAAAAAGGGCTGATGAGTCTCAAGAGGGCTTTTCTTTTTTAATGTAATTGATGTGGCAGTGAAATATAATTTATTCAAACCTTATTATCTAAGGCAAAAGTTACCATTGTTGAATGAAGCCACATTCCTAACTTTAGAGAGGATGTAGCAGCACGAATTGCAAAGTTTTGGAGACTTGTTCTTGAATTTCCATATTCCAAGAAGTGACAGGTAGTGGCTGCCTTACCTCTCCATCAGGAAACCTTAGAGGCAGATAGCCTTTCATGCCAAGCACAGCAGGCTCAGTTACATGTCCATGGCAGGATAAGGTTAAGGTGGGGGCTGGGGGCGGGCAGGGCAGAAGAGGGAGACAGAAGCAGAAATCAATTCAAATTACTTTGATGACAGTTGCTTTGCAGAAAGGCAGACTGGGACTTCCAGGATGCTGGCAGCCCGCACAGGCGCTGCAGGGAGTCAGATCTCTGAAGACAACAGCAAGTTCAGAAAGCAGTCTGGCCTTTCCTCAGGAGGGAAAGACAAATCTCCCAAGAAAGCCCCCGAGAATGTTAAAGACAGCAGCCTCAGCCCCTGTGGGCAAAGCCAGCTCAGGGCACGGCAGCTGGCCCTGCTGCGGGAAGTGGAGATGAACTGGTACCTGCAGCTCTGCGAGCTGTCCAGCGAGCATACCACAGCGCACACCACCGGGATGCCACACAGGTGAGCACGCTGATGGGGGCATCCGGGAGGGATTTGGAGAGCGGGTGCATTGCGTTCCTTCCCAGCCTGTGAAATCTTAGCAGCAGCTCTCACAGCCTCAGGAATGCTTGGCACTTCAGAACATATACTACAAAAGGCAGAAACTTGGTGCAAGTTTCTTGGCTCTCTGGGTTGAGATTCAGAAAGCATCCTTTGGGAAGTGAGTAAAAATTTTTCTTAAGAAAAAAAATGTGAAGAATTTGGAGGCTGTGGAGAAAGAATGGTTCCTTCCCCAAAGAATGAAATGTCATCGCAGTCTGCCTGCATTTCTTTTAACTTGGAAGTAGGGCATGAGGGGAAGGCCCTTTTAGCTGTTTCAAAGTGGTTAGTTGAAAGTTCAGGTGGTTCAAGAGGAGTAGGTTGTACTGACAACTGTATATCTCAAAAGCTGGGACAGACAGCCCTGGGAGAAAAGAGCACTTTTTAAAAAGATGTACGTGTAAGGCAATTTCCTGCAGACTTTCTTTCTTCTCTTCCCTTATTCTCCACGTAACAGCAAGGAAAGATAGCTTCATTAATCCCACTGCAGCAAGGCAATCTTCACTGAGTGAAGTGTCCAGAGTCCTGAAGCACAAGTGTACCGACTTCCTACAATTTGTATTAAGAGATCTCTTAGGGAATTATTCACGAATGAATATTTCCCTAAGAGATAATTTTGCAAGAAAAGTCACTGTGTGATGAGCCCAGAATAGTTTTCATTAAATGATAATTAAAATCCATTAATAGAATAGCCAAAATGTCTTTTGTAAAGACTACAACATATCATATCAAAATGTCCAGTATACCTTTAGCAGCTTCCATGTGTATATGTGGTGTGTGTGCGTGTATGTGGGGGGTAATATGGTATGTGTGTGCCGGCACGGGGTGATGTGTGTTGGGTGTCTATGATATGTATTGTCTCCATGTGATATGTGTGTAATGTATGTGATGTATATGTGTGCTGTATGAGTGTGTGGTATCTTTATGTGTGGTGTGTGAGCGTGTGATGTGTTTGTAGTGTATGTTGCTATGTATTGTGCCTGCACATGAGTGTGCAGGTGTGCAGGGAGGCCAGGGCCAGACATCCTGTTTCTTCCTCTGTCACTCTCCACCTTAGTAAATCGAGACAGGACATCTCATTGTACCAGAAGTTTGTCATTTTGCCTAGGCTGGCTGTCCAGGGAGCTTTTGGGATTGGCCTATCTTTGCCCCACAATGCTAGAGTTACAAGCATGCATGGTCCTCTTGACTTTTTACATGGGCGCTGGGATTTGAACTCAGGCAGGCCTGAATACTTGCAGAGCAACCGCTCTTATCCACTAAGCTTTCCTCCAGCTTCCACTGTTATATTTCCAATTCAAAAAGGATATCTAAAGCAATTGAATTATATAGTTCATATACTCTAGAAACTTGGACAATACACTTCAAATGCTTGAATAAACTTACATCTCCCCCTTCCAATTGGCAGTTATAAAATAAATGTTTCAAAATGTAAGTCACTATTGGAAAATCCCCTCTTAAAGTGTAAGATGAAGTAAATCTTCTAGAAATGTTCTGGGAAATAGATTTAGTATTCATGGGCAGGGTGACTTGTGTAAGCTCTTGTATAAATTCTAATGCCTACATTTGGGGGAGGAGGAGGAAGGTTTTGAGGAAGGGATGGTCTCAGTTAAGGAAGGCTCATAAGAGAGCTTGTTCCTGCTAGAAATTCACTTCCTTAAATGACCCATATCCCAAATGGTATCTTTCAAGTTTATACAGCTCTTACTACAGAGCCTGTGGGGGGAAGTTACATGACAACATAAATCCTTGATAATGGTTTCTTTCCCCAACGTGTTCATTGACTTACTCTAAACCTGCCACTTTCCATAAAGACTATAATACAGGACCACAGAATTCCTGGTGTCAGCTGCCACCAAATCAACATTTCCCAAGTCCAAGTGAAATATCAGTTGAGATAATAAGGTTTAGTAAGAAATTGGGGGAGAAAACAGTAACTGGCCCTGTTATCAGAAAAGACTGGACAAGATATGATTTCAGATTATTGTAATCTTCAGGGCAGTGCCATTTTATCATTGATTCATATGAGCTGCTTTTTGCTCTTGCTTAGTGAGTGTGTTGAAAAAGTAAAGGCTTATCTATTTAAAGCCATTAGGAGAGGGAATGCCCATCCATCCTTGATTTTTGCAGTATGATTGTTTCCAGGAAGAAACTAGTGTGTGTAGTTGACACTCAGCTCATCCCTAATGTAGATGAATTTGCTGAAGATCTCAAAGTTTTCATAGCTCAGGAGATCAAGACCTTTCTTCCCTTTGCCAGCTCCCGCCTTTGCAAGTACCAGAACTCACCCAGTTCTGGTGAGTTTCCTGAACCATGACTTAGGCAATAGTTCACATTTTAATGTTCACATTTAGATACAATTCCCTGAATCATCCCAGTGTTTGGATTAGTTGTCAGGAAGTTATGGAAAGTTTGTGTGGACTTGGAATGTGTTTTCCTCAAATAGTTTGGCTCTCATGTGATATTTTCACTTTAGACATGTATGTAGATGATAAATGTGCCTAACCTTTAATTAAAATACTTTAAAATTTTATGCTTCTTTGAAACATTGTTCATGTGGCAGAACAAGAAATGTGTTGAGGAGAACTTGAAGACACTACATAGTGTAAGACCCTTTAATCCCTGGTCACCAGTAAGGACTTGGTGCAGTATTCTGACTCTGGTTCCCATACTGGGAAGATGGAATTAAAATATTGCATAGCAATTAATTCTTGCTTGTGTCAGACTGTTTTATACCTAGATCCCATAACAACCTCTATCTCAAAAGGTACTAACTGATCAGAGGAAAGCATTAGAGGTGGAGGCAGGGTTCAAGAGTCCTAGTATATTCAACAAACATAACTTTAGGAAGAAGGACAAGGAACAGATGTAAGAATAGCCCTTTTCCTTTTCTGGGCTGTGTGTACATGAGATTACACAATAAAACAATCTAATAAAATTTGATTTGTATTGACTGATTGTCCATTTAAGAGATGCCTAATGACAGTGATGGTGGGTACGTTTATTATCTGTGGCAGCATCATTACTTGCCTAACAAAGGAGAATAGAGTAGGGGCCAGGGAGGCAAGACTTGACCATTCCTCTTTGTTCCCATGTATGGTAGTTAGTTTTATTGTTTGCTTGTTAGTTTACTCATTTTTGTCAACTTGACAAAAGTTTGAGTCACCTGAGAAGAGGGAACCTCAGCTGAGGAACTAACTCCAGCAGACTGGCCTGGACACAACACCGTGTGGCATCTTTTTTTTTTTTTTTTTATCCTGGGACAGGCCTAGGTCCTCCCCCATGTGTCCAGGCCGAGAGAGCATCCCTTCACGTGGGATGGGTTCTCAAAGTCCCTTCTTTTTTTCTTTTTTCTTTTATTAGTTCAAATTAGGAACAAGCTTGTTTCACATGTCAATCTCTTCTCCCTGTCCCCCCCCCCCAACATTCTACCTGCCCCTAGCCATCCACCCTCCACTCCCCAGGCAGGGTAAGGCCCTCAAAAGGGGCTCCCCAAAGTCTACCACATCATCCTGGGCCAGGCCTAGGCCCTTCCACCGTGGGGCATCTTCTTGATTGATAATTGATGTGGGAGGGCCCAGCTCACTGTATGCAGTGCTGCCCCTGGGCAGGTGGTCCTGGGATGTATAAGAAAGCCAGCTGAGCAAGCCATGGGGAAGAAACCAGTTAGCCAGACTCCTTCATGGTTCTGCTTTAGTTCATGACACCAAGATTTCTGCTTCAAGGTCCTGCCCCTGCTTCCCACATTGATAGTTTATGGTGTGAAAGTGTAAGCCAAATATGCCCTTTTCTCCTCAAGTCTGTTTTGGTCAGTGTTTTATCATAGCAATAGAGAAGCCAACTGGGACACCATGTAGTTGTGAACATGACTTTTGAAATTGTATTTATTGTTTTAAAATACATTTTATGAACATAGAAGTAACCATGGGAATTTGTAGAATGTTTTAAAATAGATAAATGTATGCAAGAGGTCTGGGAGAGAGTTCAGTTGGTACAGTGCTTGACACACACGCATGAGAACCTGAGTTAGGATCCCAAGCACTCACATACAAATATGAAGAAGAACATTTCTTCAGCTCTGGAAAAGTGGAAACAGAACTCCTGGACCTTGTTGAAAAGCAAGCCTAGCCAATCAGTGAGTTCCAGATCCAGTGAGAGACTGTTTCAAAAAATAAGTATGGGTCTGGGAGGTCACCCAGTGAATAAGGATGCTTGCTCTGCAAACACAAGGACTTGAGTTCAGTACGCAGCACCCATGCAAAAGTCTGCATGGTTGTGCATGCATGTAATCCCAGTATTGACAAAGGGGAAAACAGATAGGCAAATGTCTGCTGGCCAGCCAGGCTAGCCTAGTTAAAGCAAGATTCCAGTTCAGTGAGAGATACTGTCTCAGAGCAACAAGACAAGGAATATTTCAGGGAAGCCACCCAACTTCTTGCTCCTTGTGATCAAAGAAATAGAAATTTAAAAAGTTAATTAACATACCCAACAATGCAAAACTCATTGATTTCATGGACTGGAGAGAGGGTTCAGTGGGTAAAGGTGCTTGCTGTCAAGACTGATGACCTGAGTTAGATCTGACTCTGGAAGGTTGTCCCCGGACCACCACACAGGCACCATGAAAGCTGTCCCTCCCATCACATAAAATCAACACATAAAATGAAAAGTAGAGAGAGAAATACTGGAGACAGAAGGGTTCAAGCAGGCAGTATAGTAATAAAGATGGAAGGGATGGCAGAGAAACAGTTAATCAATATAAAGTGTATGTGAACAAGCTGTGTAAAACCTCATTGAAATGATACGAAAGTGGATAATAGAACACACGTGATATGAGAGAGCAGGAGATAGATATGGGAAGCTAACGGTTTGCATAGGGATGGGTGGATGGAGGCAGGGGACTGGGGAAAAGGAAAAGAGGAATA